GATCTCTTGCAGACGACTTGAGTACTGGTTCAGGTGTTGTATCCAGTAGAGCAGCTTCCACACTGCGATCTGTTGAGACTCTGCCTTGAATCGGAAGGTTTGNTAAACGGAGGCCCGGAGAGTGTTTTTGAGGGTGGTTTTGCCCCCCTTTAAGAAACCCCCCAACTTCTCGAGGGGCACATATTGGGACGGGTGCACTTCCGGTTTGACCGGAAGTGAGTGTTACGGTTGTGCAACGAGGCTTTCTCGTCGTGGGTGATTGCTGGGGGTGAGTGGGGCATCACTCCTCGTGGTGATTTCCGGTGGGTGGCGGTGTGCTGCGCGGAGCCTCACTGTGCTGCGATCTGCCATCGCGTGTCGTCGGGTGCCGTCAAGTGCCGTCAAGTGCCGTCGGGTGCTGTCTGGTGCCGTCTGGTGCCGTCTGGTGCCATCAGGTGCCGTCGGGTGCCGTCTGGTGCCATTAGGTGCCGTCGGGTGCCATTAGGTGCCGTCGGGTGCCGTCGGGTGCCGTGGTCTGCCGTGGTGTGCTGCGGTCTGCCGTGGTGTGCCGTTGGGTGCTGTGCGTTGTTGAGGCGTGCGGCGATCTCTCGTGGTGTGCAAACCTTTGCCACTTCCCTGTGAGCGCGGTAGTGTTGCGTGAGTTCTTTTTCGGGACGCGTGTGTTCGAGTAGCCCTAAAAAGGGCTCGGGTGGAGCCATGAGTGGCAAAAAGGACTCGAGTGACCAGATCTTCAGGCCGTCGACATCTTTGGCTAGGTCTCCGGTTGGTTCCAGGGGTCCGGATGGAAGAAGGAGGGAAGTGTCGGAGTCCGGCAGTACCAGGGCGAGTGAGACTGAAATGAGTACTGTTGTAGAAAAAGTGAGGGAGATGGAGAAGACGGAGGCGGAAAGGAAGAGAGAAATGGGAAAGAAGAAGGAAGCTGAGAGTCGTAAGAAGAAAGATCCTGAGAGGAAGAAAGAAACCGAACGGAAAGAGGAAGAGTCAAGAAAAGAAGATGAAGCTAGAAGAAAGAAAGTGGAAGAATCTAAGCAAAAGGTGGCGAGGTTGGTTGCCGAAAGAGAGGTGGCGAAAGAAGGGGTGAGCAATGTGGTCAATTGGGTACTGGATTCGGACTCCGTGGTGCCGTCGGAGATCAGCGAGTCGATGGAGACTGGTGAAGATCAGAGGAAGAGACTCAGGGACTCCGATAGCGAAGGGGAGAGGGACAGGGAGTCATCCAAAAAAGGGCGTAGTGTTACGTCTGTGTTTACGTTTGGCGGCGCGCGGAGGTCCTCGCCCGGGGCCAAAGGGGATTATGCTCACGAAAAGGTTGAAGTGGTGAAGAGGGAGAGGAATGCCTTGCAGCAGTATCTTCTCCTCCCGGCTTCCAAGGTCAGCAAGGAGGCTGCTGCGGTGATTCTCCAGAGGTGGAATGTCTTAGAGGATGAGTTGAGGGAGTCCATCGTGGACAACATCAAATTGAGGGAAGAGATCAAATTCCTGAAGGTAATGAAAGACTTACCTGTGGTCTCCGGGGTGACTGCGTCGGCCGGGTCCTACGCTGGGGTGGCCGCTGGTGCGCCGGTGGCGGCTCGGGGTGCGGTTCGGGCGTCTGGCGTTGCTCCGGGAGCGTTGCCTCGGGTACCTGAAACAAAAAAGAACAAGATTTTAGTGAAACCGGTTGAAGGGTCAAAAATCGCGAGTAGTGAGGTTGTTAAAGAGGCCGTATGTAAGCTGTTACGGAACGAGCTACGCGCGGTTAAAGTGAAGGGTATTCGGACCACGAAAAACGCCGGCGTTTTGATCGAGGCGGCTGATCTGGCTGAGGCGACAAAAATTCGCGATTGTAAGACGATTTCGGAACTTGGTTTTCGGACGGAACGACCAAAAAGGCTACGGCCAACGGTGCAGATTTTTGATGTGGCGTGCGACCTCACCGATGCCGAGATAGTCGCAAACGTTTACGACCGCAATTTGGTTGATACGGGATGCGACAGGAAGAGCTTTGCTGAAAGTGCGCGAGTGATCACACGGCTGTCGAAACGCGAGGGGTGCAGCAACGTTATTATGGAGGTGGAGCCAACAACATGGAGAACGATGATGGGTCTGCAGCGCCTATACATCGACAGTAAAGCGTGTCGCGTCGTGGATTATGTCTTGGTTACTAGGTGCTTCAAGTGCCTAGATTTTGGGCACATCGCGCGCGTTTGTGACAGAGACGAGAGGTGTCGACACTGCGCGGAGTGCGGTCACGCAGAAAAGGACTGCAAAAATAGGGGTAAACCCCCGAAGTGCGGGTTGTGCGCGAATAGGGGCAGACCGGCGGAGCACCCGGCCACATCCAAGGACTGTCCGGAATTTGTAAGACAGATAGCACTGCGGCGGGAGAAAACTGATTACGTTCAGGATTAAAATCCTACAGCAAAACTGTCAGCGGTCAAGGGCGGTGATGGGTGAAGTGGAGAGGGTGGCGTATGAACGGGGCCTGGACGTCCTGTTACTACAGGAACCGTACCACGCGGCGAATTTCAACCGCGAGTTCCGCGGGTTCGGCCGGGTAATAAAGTTCGGGGATGTCGCGTGTGGTGCGTGGATCGTGGTTAGAAACGACAGCTTCGTTATCAGTGTTGTGTCGTCGTTAACGGACGCGAATTGTGCCGTCGTGGTGTGCGAAAATGAACATGTGCGTGTTGTGTTGGTCTCGCTTTACTGCCAGTACTCTGACAGTATTGACGTGTACCTCACAAAAATGGACGCGATACGGACGCGATTCTCGGGGTGTAGTGTAGTTATTGGATTGGACGCTAATGCAAGGGCGCCAATGTGGTTTGACCGGGTATTGGATGACAACGGGGTAAAGATGGCTGACTTTATCGTCGCGAGTGACCTTCTACTAGCGAACAAACGCTCTGACCTCGCGACTTTTTGTACTGTGAATGGGGAATCCAACATAGATCTCACCCTGGTTAGTGCTGGTGCTGCGCGGATGCTCGACGGCTGGAGAGTTGCTCCGCTGACGTCCTCGGATCATCGGGGAATCCTCTTCGGCCTGGTGGTGTCGTCTTCTGGAGATCTGAAACAAGAAAAAAACACAGTTATTACTACAATAAAGAGGGTAAAGTGGGACAGAGTTGAGGAATTGGTCAGGCGCGAGTTTGCGGAGAACAAAGTGCGGGTGATGATGGGTAGAGGTTCGGCTGACAGTGTAGTCGATGCTTTTACTCGTGTGGTTCGCGGAATCGTAAATGAGACAATAGTTCGGAAACGCGGAGCGGGATCCAAGTGCTGGTGGACCCATGAGTTAACTAGGGAGCGGGCGTACGTCAGGAGAGTGGGGCGGGAGGTTCGTAGAGTCGCAGCTGACCCGGGTCAGGCGCAGAGACTAATAGAAGTACGAAGTAACTATAAAGAAGTCCTCAACAGTTACAAACGCAAAATCCTGGAAGCCAAAAGGAGCAGTTGGGAGAGATTTGTGGCTGCGAATAGGGAGGACCCATGGGGGCTGGTGTATCGGGAAGTGATGCAGAGAGTACCCATTAGAAACATATCATCATCGGTGGTGTGTGGAGGCGCGGAATACGTGGGGTGGGCGGAGTCGGCAACAGCTCTGATTCGGGAGCTTGTGCGGTGCGAGGAGTGCGAGCGCGGGGTTATTGAGGGTGAGGGGTATAGTGCTCATGTGCCGGATGAGTGGATTAGTATACGAGATTTGAACGCCGCGGTACAAAGTACTAAGGGGGGGAAATCTCCGGGCCACGACGGTATTTTCCCGGAATACATAAGAATCATTTGGGCTGTGAAACCGGGAGTGCTGAAAGACATCTACAACAGGTGCTTGGAGGAACGATGCTTTCCGCGGCAGTGGAAACGGGCACAGGCAGTTGTACTATTAAAAGACCAAAGAAAGCCCGCGTCTGATCCAAAGTCTTATAGAATCATTTCCCTGCTACCGGTGATGGGTAAGATTTTTGAACGTATTATTTGGGGTAAAATTGAACGTCATTACGAGGCTAACGTGGGTCACAGTCCGCGACAGTTTGGTTTTAAGGCGGGTTTAGGAACTCTGGACGCGTTAAGTGCGGTGCGGAGGCTAGTGGTGAATGAACAAAAGAAGTATACGCTGGGGGTGTTTATAGACATTAGTGCGGCGTTCGATAATTTGAGGTGGCCGACTATTCTCAGACGCCTGAAACTTGCGCGAGTACCTGACAACATCTACGAGATCTCCAGGGATTACTTCCGTGACCGGGTTGTTGAGTTGTCTTCGAGCGTGGGTAATGTGGAGCAGCAAATGACGCGGGGATGTCCGCAGGGGTCGGTGCTGGGTCCGAGATTTTGGAATGTGGTGCTCGATGGGTTGCTTGAGTTTGACCTACCAGGCGTGGATATTGTCGCTTACGCTGATGACATCCTGTTCCTGGTCAGTGCGGAGAGTCGACTTGAGCTGGAGAGGCTGGGTGCGGAGGCCCTGGAGCGGGTTAACGGATGGGTCGAGGAGAACGGTCTTACAATATCGAGGGCGAAAACGCAAATGATTCTGCTCAGAGGCCATATGTCAAGAAAACCAATACTGGGGCTGGGTGGGGAGAGGATACAATACTGTGCACAAGTTAAATATTTAGGGGTGATTATTGACGAGCGGTGGAGTTTTATTCCACATTTAGTACACGTGAGGGAGAAAGTTATGGTGTTTGTTGAGAGACTCAGGAGTGTTATGAGGTGTGAATGGGGACTTGGGAGAAAGGCTATGCGTGTGGTGTACGAGGGCTTGTTTTTGAGTGTGTGTATGTATGGGGTGCAAGTATGGGGGGAGCGAGTGGCGAATAGCCACGTTATAAGGCGGTTAGTCTCGATACAGAGGTTGATGTTGCTTGCAATGTTGCCGCTGTGTCGGACGGCCGCCAATGTATCGTTGCAGGTGCTGGCTGGATGTCCGCCTCTGGATCTGGTGGCGGCGGGGCGGTATGTTGAGTATTGGGCTGGACGTGGTGAAGTGCGTACGGCGTTGGGAATTCGTGGCT